GAATCACCCACGAGCTCTCCCGCGAGCCGTCCCAGCACACCGCAGGGGAAAGATTTTACTCTATGGCTTTGTTCTACGCAAAGGGAGCATCCCTGGGCACGAAATTCGCAGGGTAGGAGGGGGTAGTGACGCTGGGTGTAACTAAAAAGGTGCCATTGTCCGGTGAATTCCGGTTGGGGAGTTACGGAACGATCTCATATCGCATAATCGTGAAAAAATATTATTCTTCTAAAAAAAAAAGACATTTAGTCATGTTGTTATCAACAAAAATTAAGGGGAGCCGAGCTCCCCTTAGCTCCCCCGTAGTTTGCACCCTGGTTGAGCGAATCGTTTGGGAGTTGGTGAGCAAGTAAGGTAAAATTAAACATAAGACAATGAAAGTGTTTTTTGACCTTGCATGCATGTCAACCTGTTGTTGGGGACTCCCAAAACCAAAATATGAACCTTTCATTACCCATAATAGGGGCACTTTAAGGACTGCCGTGGACAGCTGACTCAAGGTTTTTGATATTCTTCATATTCTGTGTGGTGGTCAGTTCACACTGATAGAAATTAATACACTGATAGAAATTAATCTTTTCCAACAAGTTTAAATAGATTTTTGCCTTTTATGGGCATTTTTACCTTATAAAGCCATTTTTCTAAAAATGTGCATTATCTTTTGAATCAAATTCTTAGAATTAGAATAAGACAGTTGGGCTGTTACCAAGCAAATGAGAAATCAGAGAAATCAGTATGAATAAAATCCATCTTTGCAATGCAGAGCAAACACAGAAGCTGCATCTGTGGCATTTAGATGTATTTTCACACTACTGTTTAGTGCAGAACATGAATGCATTTAACCTGCAATTACAAATGCATAAATAATGTTTTAATATATTAAACAAAACGTTGAATACTGTTATTTGAAAGTATTTAAATAAAAAAAAATTAAACCGCCAGCAGGTGGCAGCAAGTCATTGTTAATAAGTGAGTCATTGCGATTGAACCGAATCATTTAAACGGTTGATTCATTCAGGAACTAAACACCGTCATGTTGCTCAGACGCAAAACAGCGTTGTGGCTGAGTTTGGAATTATTTCTGTTGTCGAAAAATGTCGCAAAAACAGGAAATATAGTGTCTAAAACGTAAGTCTCTTAATTAACTTCTTGTTTTTTTGAACGGTAGTAAAAAAAAATCAATATTAGATTTGTAATCATGGTATTTTTTGGAGAAAAAAACGGCACTCTTTGTGTGATATTAACTATATGCAGTGAAAGAACACACTCTAAATGCGCAGTAGTCTAGACTTCATCACGTAATGTGTCACGAATCCGGTCCATGAACTTCCATCCACTTGCCACCAGAGGTTACCCTCCAATGATATTGACTCTCACACCACACAGACTGTTACACATCACCCTGGACTACATTTCCCATACTCCATTGCACTAATCACAAGCTCACCTGAAACTTATCACACACAGCTGCTACCCATTACACCCACTATAAGAATCAGTCTCAAACAACCATTCACTGCCGAGTATTGTTTAGCGCTTTGGATACTGTTAGCCGCCGATCGACCACGCCCGCTTTGGATTACCCTTGTCTTGCCCTCGATACACCTGTGTGCCATTGTCTGACCCTTGCCTGTTTTGACCATGTTTAAGAACAAAACTTTGCATATGGTTCCACATGCCTCTCGTCTCGTCGGCTCCGTAACAATGTATGCATGCACACTGTAGGTGTGTTTTGTTTGGTTTTTGCAAAATACTTGATAATGTCAAATTGCACATCGTTAAAACAACAATTACGATATTATTGCAGATGATATATATCACACACCCCTAACTCCAGGTCTCTAGAAAACACCAAACCATGACATGGCCAAAGAAAAAAAAATATCCTGGGTGAACTCCAAGTGACAGGCTGCTACATGCTGAATTAATTATGTAACCAGTTTCAACAAAACTTAAAAGAAATTAGAAACTGACAAGCTATATTTTACTACATTTATAATAGCAAGTTGTACCCAGTATCACCCTCCACAGAATCCATTCCTGGAAAGAGCTGACGAGCTTTCCCATGAACTGTTATTATACATTAACCTGAGCCTCTGAGCAACGGAGGAAGAGAGAGAGAGCCCTTAAGATGCCTCATATGACTCTCACAAGGCTTCTGCAGTGCCTAGACTGAACATCTCTCACAAGTCACGCGTGAGTCCACCTCCGGTAAATTCCTGTTTACAATTTAGCTTACTGCAAGGCAGATGCTGGGCTAAACAGGGTTACAGTGGGACTTGTCTGGATCAAATAAAGCAGCTTTTACAACAGCAAACAACTTTGTGGCGATCTGGCTAATAATCCCCTCTGATTCATGCCTGTGCCAACTAATTTAGTGGTCAAAGTGAATTTTAGCAGGCTGAAGAACAATTCTATGATCTGCGGCTTAGCCAAGCAATAAATATGGGAGCACATCTCTTCAACCAATAACTCTAGATATATAATCTGTCCTTGATACATCTATGCATTCAATCAGTCATTTTCACATGCAACACAGAAAAAAAAAAAGATTTGTATTTCAGGAGAAGCCTTAAGGCTTAAGAGATGAGCAGATGCCACACAGCAAATGGGAACTACACGTTTACCAACACAAGGCATTCTGGAAAGATATATCACTGCACCAGGACCAGGATCTCAGTCCAGTGGTTGTAGACTTCCAAACAAAGACATCTAAAAGGTCTTTCAAGAAGAATCTAGTCCAAATAAGATAGTCCAGCACTGGTTAAATGGGACTGAAGGCCATTTCACACTGAGCGCTAGTGTTGTCACGGTACCAAAATGTCAGTATTCAGTACCGATACCAGTGAAAATCCACGGTTCTCGGTACCAAGCTTGGTACCGAAATACCGGGTCGTTTGACAACACTACTGAGCGCGATGCGAAAAAGTGAGGCGAATCGCGACGAACGTTGCTTTCACACAGAGCGCGAAACGATTTATCGCCTTCTGCTAATTCACGCCTGCACGCTAGGTGGCACAGACCAACAATGCCTCATGTAGCCCATGTATCTTGTATATGGCTTTTGCATTGTTCGCTGCTCAATATACAGCATTAAATTAAGATAAATAACTTTTGGTTCTTCATTAGAAACACAAACTATATATACGGAAGGGCAAGAGATGATTGACAGATCTCGAGTGAACACGCTCTCGCGCGCATGTGGAATAAAATGGACTGTGCTCTCCAGATCACATAATTTAGTGGAGAATTAATAGAAATGTTATTCTGTTTAAAGAACGTGAGAATAAATCTGTTTCTCAAATACCAACAATAACAAGAACTCAGCATCCACTTTCTTCTCTCTACCGGGATACTCTTCTTTGGTGTTTGTTTACAGTGGGCGAAACAGCGCCACCATTCTCACCCTTTTGTGTAACAGCAGCTGCTCCGGGCACGTGATCTAAGCTCAAATCTGATTGGACGGCCCGTTTCATCGTGGAGCGACGGGGAAAAAATCGACACACAGGACGAAAAAAAAATCCTTGATTTTTCGCACCGCGAATGATCGCGCCTGGTGTGAATAGCCCCATAGGGATCTGTTGTTTCGATTCAAAAGCGTCATCGTGCCGAATTTTCGCTTTCAGTGTGAAAAGCCCTTAATGCTCAGACAACTTGCAAAATAGTAAAACCAACATGACTTTTTTCGCTTTTTCGCGCCTAGTGTGAATAGCTCCATTAGGGATCTATTGTTTCGATTCAAAAGCGTCTTACCTCTTTCTGTCTCAACAGGAGGTGGAGGAACAGGTCATATGCTGTCAACTCGGGCAAGGAACGCTCTTCTACAGCAATATGGAACAAGGTCTGATGTTTTGATCTCTTCAAGTGTGGTGATTTAGTGCAGAGGGGAGGGTGTACTGGACATGTGTGTTTGTAAGTGTTGGTAGGTGGGTGTGTAGGAGTGGGTGGAGGGAGAGATTTGAGCTAATCAGGCCTGAAGTAGCCATCAAATAAAATAAAATAAAAATTACAGTAAACAGTGGTTTTACAGTATTAGGGATCCTGAGATGTCCATATGTTCAAGGAAAACTCATCACTTATGAGCTCTTTCTGGTTACGTGAACCAAATATTCCAACAAAGAATCGACCATGAAACTGTTTTCTTTTTTTTCTTTTTTTTTACACAGCCGAACTTCATATTCAAATGGCCTAAATACATGCAATTTGTTCTCTAGGCTTTCGGTTAACAGAGCCAAACTACAGCCAACTGCGTGTGATTCAGCTCAACAGCTTCTGTAAATTGGCTTCAAAGTAGGGCTGTACGATTAATCGCATGCGATATTTAACGCGCATCTTGTCAGAAAGCCGGTTCTGTAATCAGCGGTAAATCTCCATCACCTGCGTGCTTTCACACTGAGCAGCATTAACTACACAGAGCCGTTGTTCACTGATGGACATGTGTGTTTGTAAGTGTTGGTAGGTGGGTGTGTAGGAGTGGGTGGAGGGAGAGATTTGAGCTAATCAGGCCTGAAGTAGCCATCAAATAAAATAAAATAAAAATTACAGTAAACAGTGGTTTTACAGTATTAGGGATCCTGAGATGTCCATATGTTCAAGGAAAACTCATCACTTATGAGCTCTTTCTGGTTACGTGAACCAAATATTCCAACAAAGAATCGACCATGAAACTGTTTTCTTTTTTTTCACATAGCCGAACTTCATATTCAAATGGCCTAAATACATGCAATTTGTTCTCTAGGCTTTCGGTTAACAGAGCCAAACTACAGCCAACTGCGTGTGATTCAGCTCAACAGCTTCTGTAAATTGGCTTCAAAGTAGGGCTGTACGATTAATCGCATGCGATATTTAACGCGCATCTTGTCAGAAAGCCGGTTCTGTAATCAGCGGTAAATCTCCATCACCTGCGTGCTTTCACACTGAGCAGCATTAACTACACAGAGCCGTTGTTCACTGATGAGCATCGCAAAAAATCGCGCGAATATGAACGTGGTTTAGCGCAGCTCGTCAGTGAACAACGGCTCTGTGTAGTTAATGCTGCTCCATGTGAAAGCACGCTAATTACAGAACCGACATGCGCGTTAAATATCACATGCGATTAATCGTGCAGCCCTACTTCAAAGGTCAGCAGCAGAGCCTAAATTTCAGTAGGAAGAAGCCAGCACCATAAGTAATGGTCCAGCATTTTCATGGACAATGAGAATACTTTGATAGCTGTAGTTTTTCCCCTGTGAGACTTCAGTCTGTGAAGTCCATCAGACACCAGAGGGCTATTACCCAGTCCATCTGAAAAGGAGAGAGGTGATTATCAAAGAGAAGGCCAGATACTAATCAGAGGGATTTTTAACGCATGTCAGGTCAATTTTCACAATGGGGGGGGGGTACTACAGGGAGACTCGTTGGCGAGGAACTGCTGAGAGTAGGATCCTTAATCATAAGAATGTACCGATACAGAAACTTTGACTGCTATGATAATTCTTAATATGCTTCATCTGGCACCAAAAAAATTGTGTACATTAAAATAAAATAACTTATGCCTACTATGAACCACTGGAATGAAGAAATTCTATGTGCCAATTGCCAACTCTTTCGTAAAAATGGGAAATATAACCTTCACAGTTATTACAAAAATAAATAAATAAACAAAATGCATGTGTGCCATGGATGGAAAACCTTTAGTAAACATTTTACTGTCTTTAACAATAGGTAGGACATCTAGAAATTATGCAATTTATCATCTTAAATGTGTCTGCCAATACTGATATAGCTGCCAATATATTGTTCATCTCTCGATTGCAATAAGAATCCCTGAAGCATTCAGAGTCCCTCCTGCTGACCCAACCAATGTTACAAATCATCACACTAAAACTCCTGCAGCTACGCTTAAGAATAGCTTATGCATTAAGAACAGGATGTTACATCAGTTGGGGGAGTTAAGCAACATGTACTGTTAAGTGGGTGGTAGGGTTGTGCCGATAGATGATAGTATTGTGTATTGACGATAGTCAGAGATATCGCCTGTGGCTTATGCCTTTGACAATAGCAAGACGATTAGCCTATTATTATTATTATTATTATTATCAGGCTAATAATACTCTCTAATTAATATTAGGGCTTATTTGTTGCATTGTATTTCTTTTTCTGCGTTTTACAGTATTGCGCGTTATAACCAATCACACACAATTATGCTGAGCTTATGAATGCATTGGCCAATCAGAGGAGTTCAGATGAGTCATCACTGAAACAACAGAGTTCCGTTGTTCAGCGCGCGCTGACTGAATTCTGACTCGCGAATTCTCTCATCATAAACAACAAAGTGCAGAAGTACGTGCGATGTATGTAATTATAAGAGATTTATTCATCATACAGTGCAGATTCACTGATTTTAATGGGAGTATTTTTAAAGTGCATATACTCGTGCTAGACTGAGCTTGTGTTGATGTTCTTTGGTAATGTAATGTTCTTTGCTCGTTTTCTGTAGCTGCTTTTTGAATAACTGAGAAAATGTAAGCATTATAATTAGCAACTTACAATATTTATAATAATTTTTTTCATGTTAAATACAAATTCAGTCATATTAAAAACATTAAGCTGCTTTTAGACTTACACTGGAGTTGGTTCACTTTCCGGCAATGAAACTACGTAAATAAATAATTAAATAAATTAGCACAATAATATAATGTATCGCGATCTCACAGGCTGACGATAGGACGATATGAAAATTGAGCATATCGCCCAACACTAGTGGGTGTTTCAAGTTGAATATGCATGCCAATAATGCAGATGTTTAAGACTTAAGATATAAGCAAACTCTAAATTAGGGGTGTGCGATAAGACGATTTTTGATCGTGGACGATAAAAATGACTCCACGATCTGCTTTTGAAGAAATATCGTAGTATCATGCTACAGCGGTTTCAAGATGAATATGCATGCATATCCAATAATGCAGATGTTTAAGACTTAAGATATAAGCAAACTCTAAATTAGGGGTGTGCGATAAGACGATTTTTGATCGTGGACGATAAAAATGACTCCACGATCTGCTTTTGAAGAAATATCGTAGTATCATGCTACAGCGCACATTCTGTCAGCTGCAGTTCTGGCGTCTCCATCTCAATATACTGTACAACGCGACATACATTCAGTAGGTGCATTTCCATTACAGATTTGCACAAAACTCTGGTGATATTTTATAAATGTCGATAAAAAAGTATTGCGAAATGACGGCATTTCCATTAACCAATGTTATGCGACTAAAACGTAATTTTTTCCTCTCGTGATAAGTTATGGCAATGAAGCAGCACAGAGAGCCGCTTCAGAAACATGCTTGGCCAGGCTGGAATAAACACAAGCATTGACTAGAGTGGCCGCAATTAGCTTCAGTGGCCATATCAGAGCCACACTGCACCGTAGACGTGTGCAGTGTAAATTGTCTAAGCATTAATGGTAGGAAAGCCCCTTATACTGGAGACCGGCCACGTATGAAGTGTTTCTTGGAGGTTATAGTACACTGAAGAATGATCATATGACTTTTTATTGACTAGATTTTGTAACATCTCGATTGGATTACTGCAACTCATTGTATATCAGTGCTTCTGAGTCATGTGTTTCTCGTCTGTAGTTGGTTCAGAATGCAGCGGCTCGGCTTCTTTATGGGAAGCGCAAACATGAGTCTATCACACCAGTTTTGATTTCATTGCATTTGTTGCCAGTCAAATATAGAATTGATTTTAAAATGTTACTGTTTGTCTATAAATCTCTCCATAATCAGGCTCCACAGTACCTATCTGATTTGTTACATCCATACACTCAGTCAAGAGCACTCAGATCCACTGATTCTGGTTTATTGCAAGTTCCCAGGGCATGTCTCAAAAACAGAGGTAATTGTGCTTTTTCTGTTGTTGGCCCTAAGTTGTGGAATAGTCTGCCAATTCATATCAGAACTGCCTCAACTTTATCTATTTTTAAGTCTACTCTTAAAACTTATTTCTTCTCCTTGGCATTTAATATTTTTTGACTTGCTATGCAATGATCCTGTATTTTAGTGAACCTCATCCATTTTACAGTGAGTGTTTTATAGTTTGCGTTTTATTGTTTATAAACTTGTTGACTTGTTTTGTTTTGCATAATCTGTGCAGCACTTTGGTCGACTTCGGTTGTTTTAAATGTGCTATATAAATAAACATTGTATTGTATTGTATTTTTACATACGCCATGGGACCTGTAAATGCGAAAAAAACGTTTCCATTGCAGTTTTGCGAATTATTCCTTTTTCGCATTGCCTGAAAAACCACTTCATGCGAGCGTAAAAACTTTTGACGCGTTTCTATTAGGCGTATTTTCAATTCGCAATTTCAATTTGCGCAATTTGAAGGGTAATGGAAACGCGCAGTTTTAGCGGTAGAGTTACACTCACAGGACACTGCACTTATGCGCAGTCACAAAAGTACATTATTTGCATATTTGCTTTAAAGCCTTGCCAGTTAAACGTTTCATTCACGTGCTGTTCTGATGTGCGCTTTTTCTGAGCGCATAAAAAGCCTATCAAACAGCGCCTGATTTCTGAATGAAGTTATCTTTTGCACTAATACTGTCAAAACACACATGGTTTACATATAGACTCAGTTGGTTATGTCTAAAATGAAAGTAAACAGTTGAGAGAAAATGGATGCGTGCCTGTATATGTGTGCAGGTCTTAATGGGACAGTACTAAACATGCTGCCGACTGTCATTAAAGGGATAGTTCATCCTAAAATTTAATTTCTGTCGTTATTTACTCACTCACATGTTGTCTCAAACCTGTATTAATTTATTTCTTGTGCTGAACACAAAAGAAGATATTTTGAAGAACGTGGGTAACTAAACAATTGACGGTAGCCATTGACTTCCATAGTATGAAAAAAAACTATGGAAGTCAGTGGCTACCGTCACCTGTTTGGTTAGATGAAGGTAAGTGATCACAGAATTTTCATTTTTTGGGTGAACTATCCCTTTAATATTAAATGTTTAATATTAAGATTATTAAGCAGTTTTTGTAACATTTTTTAAAAGAAAAATCTTGGGAAGAAAGGTTTTCTTTCACATGATAACAAAATATTCTTTTAATGAGGCTTTATTATTGTTTTGTTTTTTTCAAAATAAATTAATTCAGAAATTAAAAACATGTTCATCAATTATATATTAATTACATTTCTTCTGTATTTTTAGTTATGAATAATCCTCTTTAAATTCATTAAAATATGATCCTAACCAAAGCAGAAATCACTACTTCTCTCTTT